CGCGGCGGGCGGGCCCAGCCCCCCCGGGGGGGCCGTGGAAAGGGGGCCCCCAGCCAGTAGCCCACCCGCTCCCGCTGGTGGGTGATGCAAAGGACCGGGGGGCGAGAGGAGAGGCCCCTCCATAACCCCTCCCGTTCCCCCCAGCAGCCCAGGGCAACCCGGACACACGCCGGGACGACAGCCGCTGCTCAGAAGAGTTCGTCATCAACTGCACCTTCGCCGCCTGCGACCCTGAGCAGACAGGTAGCGAGGGGCCAGCGCCGGTGCATGGGCCACAGCCCCGGATACAGCTTCAAGGCGCCTTCGAGGCGCTCCACCACGCGTGAGGCTGCCGGAAAAACCCTCCCACTGACAGCCTGCCCCCACCCAGGGACGGGGAGGCCTTCGGGCACCCAAAGCCAAAGCCACCTCCACGCCAAACCCACCTTGCCCCACACCCTCCCCATAGCGCAGCCCTTTCCCAGTCCCACCCCAGCTGCTCCTGCGGGGGGTTGCGCAAGGAGCTGGTCACCAGCCGTGGGCGAGGGAGGGGGTGGCCCCATGGACCAACGCCCCATCCTGTGCCACAGGGATGGTGCGGGCGCAGCAGGTGGTCGAGTACCTGCAGGCAGTGACAGGGCAGAGCGGCGAGGAGGGCCAGCTGCAGGCACTGCGCCGCATGCTGGACCCTGAGGCGGTGGGCACAGCGCTGGATTTGCCCACCTTCCATGCTGTTATGAGGGAGTGGATCGCATCGTGCCAGCAGGAGGGGTCAGTGGCAGGGGACCAGGGCTAGAACGCGGTTCCTTGCGTACCAGCTGGTGCAACTGACAGTTCCTATCTATCTCCCCAGGGGTTCACGGCTTGCCGAGGAGCTGGATGCGGTGGCAGGCAACCTTGGCCTAGTGCTGGCAGGTGGGTGTCGGCGCAGGAAGGAGCTGAGGGGAGGGAGGGGGAATCAGTGCCCGGTGGAGTGGGGTTGCTGGAGCCATGGTGGGGATGCTGGCGCCTGCCTTGCCCCGGCTGCAGTGAGACCAGCAGCGAGGA